CGACCGCTTGACCCCTGAACCCCCCCTCCATCACTTACTGCACTCTCTCCAGCTGGAGTCTGACAGGCACGGATGGCTACCTTTCCTCCAGTTATGTGAATCAATGGCGGCGCCATCGCACCATGAATGTAACCTTCCACGGTGAGTAAGTGGACACTGCAGTATTTCCAATCTGTCAAACGTGAACTGGAACATCCACCAGCAAAACATGCCAATTATCGTGGCTCAGTTTCAGTCAATGTGTATTTTACAGAACAGCTACAAAGCTTAAGCCAGTAAATGTGCAAAAATTTTTAATGTAATTTGCATGTTTGAACAATCAGGGCAAAAAAAAGAGCCGCGCTGAGGGTGTGTAACAGACTACAACATACTTCTCTGCAAACTGCCTTCAGACAGGCCGACGGTGGCCAAGGCACGTTCCAGATGTTCGCGGCACAGGGCGTGGATACTAAAGAGCCGGTTATTTTGAGCCACGGAGAGGAAATGAAAGGAGCAGAGTTCAGCGTGCACAGATTTCAGGGCCGCGGAGAGGGTAATCAAACACCGCCGTCCAACGGGCCAATCACGTCGTCTCGACACAATAGCGGCTCGCCTGCCGCTGGCACGGTCTTATCGCAACACACTCGCAGTCAGAGAGGTGTGAGATGAATGAGTGGGAAGTGGAAGACGGTGAGGAAGAGGAAGAGATGGATGGGGGAAGCGAAAGGGAGGGAAAGACAGCAGAAACAGGAGCAGTTGGTACAAATTAAATCACAGGGTCGGYGTCGTTTGAACCGGGTTTCATTCATATCACAACTCGCCATCTGTTTGGAGGTGTGTTTTGGGTTTTCGAAAGTAGACTTATGTGAAATGARCTGTGATGCTGGCCGTATTTGTGGAATATAACAGTCGCTTCCAGGAAACCTCAAACTCAAACTACCACAGTGCGTTTTTTGGGTTCCGCAAAGACAGATTTGTTAAAAAAATCATTGAGAATGCTTCGATTTTTTTTTTAAAGCAAAAGTTTCTACTGCCACTTAAATTATCTCTGCCAAGTGACAGCTAATGTAAGGACCAATTTCCATTCAAATGCAACACAAACACAAAATCGATTCACCTTGACACTGTACTATCTAGTCAATAAGCATCACTTTGACGGCTTGGACACTTGGCGACTCAGTCACGGCTCCGCGGTGGTTCAGGTGAGACAGAAACCGATGCCAGGCTCCATCTCTGAATTTCAAATAAATGATGCGAGTCCCTTTATTGAAAATCTGTCAGGAAGCGTCTTCCTTCCTTCGCTGCTCTGCACCCACAGACGGAAAATTACCAAACTGTTGATAGATGGTTAACAGGTGCGGGCTAATTATGCTAATCATGGCAACAGCCAAATAAACTGATTGCCATGTTCATTTAAATGACAGCAATGTTCCTTTGGTGGCTAATTAAAACRGGTTGGGAGGAAAGGAAACGAGGCGGCTGGGTTTCGGAGAGAGGGAGGCGTTTAAATAAAAGCCTTCTCTGGGGTCTACTGTAATAAGCTGTATTTCATTGGTTTAATGATGTCATAATGAATTTCTAATGATGGGGGATGGGTTAAGGTGCAAACGGAAAGTGTGGCRGTATATGAACAAAATCAGATTTAACATTTGCAAAAAAAAGAGGTGCTAACAAGGGAGCTGGAAKTAATGCGTGGCATCGGGTGCTCCTGGAAGAAATGAGTAAAGTAATGAAAATAAAAATTAGCAGAGGACATCGAGCAGGTTATGTGCTCCATTTGTTTTAATACGAGCTCCAATAGGGAAGGGATGGGGAGGTTTTGAAGGCGCAATTACTTTTTATCAGCACTGGGACCCGACAACCTCCATCTCCCTTTTTTCCCTGTGACCTGGGAAAAGGCATCATTAGAGGAACCAGAGGCCAGAAGAGTTGACCTCTGGGTCCCCCGACAGCCTGTGTGGCGCTATGAAAGGTGAATAAGGGCYGATTAATGTTTATAGAAGCAGCAGGTATTGAAAAACCCCTCACCTTACCCTTTACACCTTTGTCTTAATTCTATTTGAAACTTGTGACTGTTAGTGTTAGCACTTTTTTTCTGTTTAGGAGTAACTACCAGGTTTTAGACACATGCAAATTATTCTATTCAATTTTAGTTCAACTAAATATATGTAGGTAGAACAAATATGCATTACATGTTTAATCTAAAGTATTAACACCTTCTACAAAAATCTCTTCCAATCACAACACAAATGAAAAAAACCRTTGAGAAGCAGTCTGTTAAAAGTTGTTGGCTTTTGGGAGGGGGTGGGGCTTTTGAACACATAATGATGATTGACGGCCGAAACATAAGTATTTATTAAAAGAGAGCCTTTTTTTAAAATAAAAGTTACAGAACATGAAGAAGTCTGAAACTTMATTTGCATTAATTGAATCTTATGTATCTCTCACTTAAATAACAAAAACCTGAACCGGTAATGTAACACAATTCAAGTGATAAGTTTGTGGAATAGACTTGGTACTATCATAAAAACCTCTAAAACAATATTTATGTTTCAAATGATAATTAAGATAAAATTACTGGGAAAATATATAATTTGTTGCATCTTGTGG